ATTTGAACAATCCAAACTGGAAATCACTAGGTAAACCTGGCCATTCACAATATGAAATATGTCTATGATTATTGTTATAATTTTTAAGCTTATCAACTTTAGTGTGTGTGTGTGTGTGTGTGTGTTGTACTGTGCTTTGAACTCAAGGCCTGGAGCATGCTACCGTGATGGTCTACCATTTGAGACACTCATCTAACCCTATTTTATTCAGCTGGTTAATTTGGAGATGGAATCTCATGAATTTATCTACCAAGGCTGGCCTCAAAACATATTTCTCCATATCTCAGCCTCCTGAGTAGGTAAGACTACCAGCATGAGCCACTAGTGCTTAGCTAGTTTTAATTGTGGTTTGTTGTTGTTGCTTGTTTGTTTTCTTACTACAATTGCCTAGAATGGCCTGAAACACTTGAGTTCAAGTGATCGTCCTGCTCCAGGCTCCAGTGTAGCTAGGTCTACAAAGGCACACTACCATACATAACTCCTAATTTAAAATTTAAAGTTGTTATTAGATGATCTTGAAACATGTTTAGAAAAATGGATATGTGGAACTACATTTTAACTTGTAAAGATACATCTAAACAGATTAGGTATTTCTGCTAAAATAAAATGTAATATGCATAAGCATTAAAATGCACATGGAATTTCAAATATTAGCATAAAATAATAATGTAAAAGACAGCCTTTTAAAAATAATGATTGCATGTCAAAATGATATTCAGATATATTAGCTTAAATCTTTTTTACTTAATACCTCTGGATTCTTTTTACTTTATGTTTTAGATTATTTTTTTTTGTTTTTTGTTTGTATTTAATTTTGGCGGTATGAGGATTAAAACTCAGAGCCTCATACTTGATGGGTTTGCCTGCTCAGCAGGTACTCTACATCTAAAGCCATGCCTCCTTCCTTGGTTATTTTGCAGATGGAGACTTGCAGACTATTTTGTCCAGTCTAGCTTCAAAGCTCAATGTTCCAGATCTTCCTTTGTAGCTGGGGTAATAGGCTACCACAGCCCAGTTCTGGCTTTATATTTTTGTATAGTAACCATGATAAAATAATAATAATAATAATAATGGTACTATAAGTATTGAGATAGGCCAATGAAATGGTTTGGCACAAACATGTTGTATGAGAGAAAAGCAGAGGGCAGAAAAACTATATTCAAATTCTAATTCTGATACTGACCATCCAAAGATACTTGAACAAATGTATATTATTTCTTGATATGTAAAATAGGGAGATGAGCACCAATAGGCACACCTGTAATCCTAGCTACTTGGGAGTATTAGAAGGCAATAGAGAGGAAAGCTGTTCAAAGTTTGAAGCTAGCATAGGCAAAAAAACAAATCTCAAAATCCAATTTCAAACAATGGCTGGGAGTAGTAAAAAACACTTGCCATACCAACATAAATAGGATGTGGACAACATAAAATAGGAAGATCACATTCCAGGCTGACCTGGGCAAAAAATAAGAATCAATTTCAAAAATAACCAGAATAAGATAGTATTAGAAGTATGGCTCAAATTAAGAGCTCATATCTAGCAAATACAAAACTCAGTTCAAACACTTGTGTCATGAACAGTAAAGAAGGGAGAATGGTTTTCTAGCTAAAATACTTGTAAAGTGTCTGGCATGTAATAGGTACAAATAATTGAATAAATCATTTTCCAAAGCAAATCACAAAGAATAGGCAATTAGTTAGAACTAACTTCTTCTCAATGACTGTCTTCCTGTAAATAAGATATAGTTTGTGAGCTGGGTGCTTCAAAGACAGCCTAGCCAAGAAAGACAGTGAGACAATTAACTCCACTTAATCAGCAAAAAGATAGAAGTAGAGCTGTGGCTCAAGTGGTAGAGTGCTAGCCTTGAGCAAAAGAGCTCAGGGGCATCACCCAAGCCCTGAGTTCAAGCCCCAGTAGGAGCACTAAAAAGAAAGATAGACTCTATGGACCCTTCTTGCCATAATTAAGGATAGGTTCTACAGATAAATAATAGCAACCTTTATATCCAATGGTCTTACCCAAAGTTTCCAAAAATGAATGTTTAAAAATGGTATAGACAGACTGACTTCAAAAACCATAATGGTTTCATGAACCCAAAACACACCTAAAAGATACTTCTAACTCATGTACTCTACAGGATTTTTACATGTCTGTAACTTGAAAAGCATTAGGAGTCCTTATTCTATGAAACCAAACCACAATCACTATAAGATTGGGGAAGGTAAGCCTAAAACAAATGACATTATTCCTACTGGCCTTCTTAAAACCAATAGGAAACCTGTGGAAAGCATTCTTTTATCATTACCCTAATATATAGATTGAAATATCTATGTCACACTTATTCATATGAACTAGAATATTCATGACATAATTCCTGGAAAGCAAGAAGTTTAGAATATCTTTTCAAGATAAAGTGAACAAGGAAAACCAGTCCTCTGAACAAGAAGACATCAAAAATATTGGATCCACCTCAGGCTCAATGGCTCAAGTGTGTCAATACTAGCTATTTGGGAGGCAGGGACTGGGGGAAGGAGATTTCAGGCTATAGCTTCAGCTGGCCTAGGCATAGAGTGAGATTCTACCTTACAAATAAACCAAGACAAAATAAGGTCTGGAGGTGTGGCTCAAATGTAGAGTGCCTGGTTAGCAAGCAATGTGGTATCATTGATGGTACCCACTATCATCAAAAACACTTCTGAATCCTGATTAGATAGCTTGCATGTCCATTCACTGTGATTGATCCTACATTATCCCAGTAAAAATAATATTCACTTGCCTTCCTCTTGGTCAATCTGCTTCTTTCCCATATGCCTGTGTAGGTACACACGTTTATTTGTGTAATCTTCATATTACCTAATTTGTCATCAAAATAAATGTGAAGCTGAATTCCTAAAGTCAAACTATCCAACTTCATAAAAAAAAAAAAAACTTGTTAGTTCCCATCATAATTTTCAGTAAATAAAGTAATAATCAGCTGGCTGCCTGTGCCTCATACCTGTAATCCTAGCTACTGAGGAGGCTGAGATCTGAGGATCAAGGTTCAAAGGCAGCTGAAACAGGAAAGACCATGAGACTCATCTCCAATTACCCACCAAAAAGCCAGAAGTGGAGCTGTGTCTCAAGTGGTATAGTGGTAGCCTTGAGCAAAAGAGCACAGTAACAGTGGCCAGCCCATGAGTTCAAGCCCCAGGACTGGCACAAAAAAAATTTATTTTACATTATATTGTGTGACAGAACTAAAATCCAATGTTAACAATGCCCACTTATAGCTTTCCATATTTTTGCAACAACTTTCTGTTTTGTAGTAATACAAACACCTCCTAATCCTGAACACACTTTGCCACTATAATTTCCGAGTTTTCTTAAGTTGTTCATCAATCTATGTAATAAATCAGATGTTATGCCGTAAGTCAAACAAATCCCACACCAAAAGTCTTTCAATTTATTAGTTCTCATTAAATGTGAATTTCTAGAAAACAGAATAAGAGTGCTTATGAGTTTATTAGGGAAATTTTTCTTAACTTGATTATCAAATTACAATTAACTTGTTGGTTTTGCCATTAGATTGTAGACAGCTTAAGATCAGGGGAAGATGTTACTCTGTATGCTTTGCATTGATAAATTGATTTATTCAAGTTTGTATTTTCAATATGCCAGGGACTTTACAACTATACCGTTCTAGCTTGGCATAGTTCACAATAGTCTGAGTAGCTGTGGGGAGGAGGAAGAAGGAAGGAAGGAAGGAAGGAAGGAAGGAAGGAAGGAAGGAAGGAAGGAAGGAAGGAAGGAAGGAAGGAAGGAAGGAAGGAAGGAAGGAAAGGAGGAAAAGAAGGAGGGAGGGAGGATGATGTCCTCAGAAAAACTGTCATGAGGTAAGGGTAAGAAGAGGACAGAAAGGAAGAAATAGAGAAAAGAGAAGTGACAACATGAAATATATCAGAGTGAAGTTTTGCATACTATCATTCTCATACCAGAACATTAGAAATAGAATTAGCCACTAATCTAGACAAGCAGCTGAGAATCACCCAAGATGAATAAGCCCAGGAGACAAGTACTTGTTGAGAACCAGAACAGTCAGTGAAAAAAGAACATAGCAGACATCATATGCAGAAGCTTGGGGGCATGCTGAAAAGCTTGGCAAGTGCTCGCTAAAAGCCTGTCATAGCTGGTTCTCCTAGTGAGGAAAACACTTCAGGGTATTCTGCACCTTTCAAAACTGGCAACATTTTTCAGGTAGTAATACCTTCATATGGCAGAGTCATTCATTTCATTTCACTCTTGCAGAAATTACCTTTGAGGGCAGAGATCTAAGGATTGAGGTTCAAATCTGGACCAGTGCAGGGAAGTCCCTGAGACTCTTACTTCAATGAACCAGCAAAATACCCCAAGTAAAACTGTGGCTCAAGTGGTAGAGAACCAGCCTTCAGAGAAAAAGCTAAGGGAGAGTACCCAGACCCTGACTTCAAGCCCCAGTAGTGGGACAGAGAGAGAAAGAGACAGAGACAGACAGGGAGAGAAAGAAACAGAGATAACCAGAAACACACAGAGACACAGTGAGAAATTATCTTTGGTTCTTAGAACCAAGGCAGGTGTAAAAATGATTAATCAATGGCCGGGCACCAGTGGCTCATGCCTGCAATCCTAACTACTAAGGAGGCTGAGATCTAAGGATCACGGTTCAAAGCCAGCCCAGACAAGGAAAGTCGATCTCCAATAAACCACTAGAAAATCGGAAGTGGCGCTGTGGCTCAAGTAGTAGAGCATTTGTCTTAAGCTGAAGAGCAGAGGGATAGCGCCCACGCCCAGAGTTAAAGCACTACGACCGACAAAATAAATAAATAAATAAATAAAAATAATAGTAATAACAATAAAGACAATTGATCCCTTTTGAGACCAACCAATGTTTTTTTTTTTTTTTTTTTTTTTTCTGTTGCATGGAATAACTGAGCAAGCCTATCCCATTCAACCCCTTCCACCAAATCACACCAGTTCCACTTACGCCCAGCATCTGGTGGAGGTAGTAATACTCTGGCCCTTGGTTGTACAGCAGGAAGGTTTTCCAGAAAAGCAGGACATTCAAGGACAGCCAAATGAGCTGAGCCAGACAAAAAGAGAGAGAAAATTAAATTTTAAAAAGAGAAATAATCACCTGATGGATAAAGCAAGTCAGCTTTTTTTGGACCTGGTACTTACAAAGCCATCTCAATTAGCAATTGCGAAATTGCCTTCTCAGGAGCCAGAAATCCCAAACCTGAGAGAGGACACCTGTCCCTGCCCTGCCCAGCTCCTCCACCTGAGAGGATGCCTTTGGGTGCAAACAGGTGTCCTCAGTAATGTGCAAGTGACTTCCTCAGTACAAAGCAGGTCTAGAGTGAAATTAGTGGCTTCACCTTTGTCCCAAGCAAATGGGGGAGAAGAGCAAAGCAAGCAAGCAACCTGGTCTGAAGCGTTAATAGGAAAATAGTTCTCCAAAGTGAGCTCCTCTCCCCTCCCTCCGCATCCGCTCTCCCATTCGAGTGTGGAGAGGTTCCCGTGCACCGAGGGGAAGGAGAAGAGGAAGTCTGGGAAGAGGAGGTCCACATAGATGGTCGCCTAGGATTTAACCGCATTCAAAGTTTTGTTAGTTGCAAAGTCTGGCATTCGAGACGCCCGGGCGTCCCACCCCGCGCGCGCTCGGAGGATGGATCGAAGCTCGGCGGGACAGGCACACGCCACCCTACCAGGCAGAGGTGCTTCACCCCCTCGTTGGCCAGCCAGCTCCTCCAGGACACGGCCATGTCGCCCGCCGCCGTGTGGCCCGCCCGCTGCCGCCCGCACTGTGTGCGCCGTCTGCGCCGCTGCGCCCCGGGCCGGCAGGGAGAGCGGTTCCAGCTCGCGGCCTGCGGGGGGTGGGGGGATGGGGGGGGGCCAGAGTCAGAGCCCGGGGCCGCGCCGAGGCGGGCGCCGGGCCAGCGCGCGGGGCCGGGCCGGCCGTCCGGGCGGGGTGTCCTCTCAGCTGCGCTCCAGGCAGCGCCCCGCGGCCCCAGCGCCTCCGCCCGCCCTGCCCCGCCCCGCCCCGCCGTTCCGGCCCCTTTGTCTGGCCAAGTCTGTTGTTGTGGCGGTGGCTACGGTTCGGGTGTCCGCGACCCTCCCCAGATCTCCAGCCCGGCCAGCCCAGCTCCAAAGATCGATCCTCCGGCCCGCGGAGACTCCCGGCACTGGCTCGCCTGCGCACACACCTAGGGCTTCTCAACTGCTCATTTTCCCCTAAAAAAAAAAAAAAAAGAAAGAAAGAAAAGAAAAAGAAAGAAAATGAAAATTCCACCTAAAGAGACTTGGTAAAGAAATGTGAGCCGGAAGTGGCCTTGTGTGTATTCGCGTCCCCCTCCTCCCACCCGTCATCAGCTGCTTGTCCCACCTCCAAACCAAGCCTCCCCACCCTCCCCTCCTTCTGAGCCCACCCCACTTGGGCCAGGTTCCCGATAGCCCAGAAGTCTGCAGATAAAAGATACTAGGACAAAGGGGGAATGGTTAAGCAGTTGAAGTCACTCTCAGGAATTTTAGGAAGGCTCAGATTTGCTCTAGGAACCTGACTCTTATTCTCTAGTCTCAGAGTTTATTTGGTTAAAGAGAAAAAGAAAAAAAAATCACTCAAATTGGTGGAGCAGCCCAGGAAAGGATGAGGGTGCCAATCCTACACCTCACCCTGTGCATACTAAGGGGACAAAACTCATGCAGAGAAGAAAGGTGCATAATTAGTATTCAATAAGGTTAATCAAAACACAGCTTTCTACACCTTAAAAACTAACAAGTGATAAGGGGGATGAAAGATTATCTGGCTCAACTGAATCTTGGGCTTGGATTTTTCATTTTTTTTTATTTTTTCTTTTCTTTTCCTTCCTTTCTCTCGCTCTCTTTCTTTCTTTCATTTGTTCGTTCTTTCTTTCTTTTTCTTTCTTCCTCCCTCCCTTCTTCCCTCCCTCTCTATTCTCCTCCTCCTTTTCCTCTTCATCCTCCTCTTCCTCCTTCTTCTCACATTAGCTTGGGGTGTAATTAAAAGTAAAGTTTCATAGTCAGCAGGTGGCTTCTGTCTATAATTCTAGCTACTCTGGAGGCTGAGATATAAGGATCAAAGTTTGAAGCCAGCCCAGAAAAAACTGTGTGTGAGACTCTTCCCACCAAAGAGATAGAAGTGGAGGTGGGATTCAAGTGAAAGAGTGTCAGCCTAGCTAGAAAAGCCAAGCAAGAGTGTGAAGCCAGGAGGAGGAGGAGGAGGAAGAGGAGGCTCTAGAAAGTCATTCTGTCCTTGCTCAACACAGTACTTCCAATTAATTTAATGACCTAACTAATAATTGTTATTCACTTTGAATAACTGGAATGCATGACTTTGAAGTCCAAGTTAATTTCACACAATTTTCTTTCCAATAGTCTGTCATCTCCTTTTAATAGATGATCTTCCTGTCTCATGCATGGTCAAATCCTGAAAACAACTCCAAAGTTTCATAGAGGAAAGATTATTTCTAAATAACACTGTGATTTTATTGATTGTGTGGTAACCAAAGAAGCACCTGAAGAGCCTGAAGAGTTAACAATGGGAAAGGGTCAAATTCTCTTTACCCCAGCTCTCCTGAAGCTGTAATTTCAATCAGCAGATGGAACAAAGGTATTGCTTGACATGGAGTAATTGTTTTCTGCAATGTATGGAGAAATAGAAAGCATTTAATTATAATAGAATAAAAGACAGTTTTCAAAGACAAAACAATAATAACTCCAACTCTAAATACATACCTGCTATGAGTCAGGAACAGATCTTGCTATGTAGTATGCATATAAATTCAGGACTGGGACATGGCTCAAGAGGCAGAGCATCTGCCTTGCAGGCACTAGGTACTAGTTCAAATCCCACTACTGGCAAAGAAAAATATCAAAAACTATTTGCAGAAGTAGAAGTAATGGCTCATATGATAGAGTGTCAGACTTGAGCAAATAAAATACTGAGATCACCAGGCACCAGGCTCTGAGTTTAACACTGACATTAGGAAAAAAAAGGAAGCTGGAAAAACAAAAACAGTGATAGTACACAAAACTCTGATTTAATACAATAAGTAAACTAATCCTGAAAAAACTTAAAAGTTTGTATTAGTGCTTTACAGATAGACAACCCATATCAGACACTCTTTGAAGGCTTTTAGTAAAATAATAAAATGCAACACGAATACTGATTATTGTAATCAATGCTATTATTTTGTAGCCATATAGAAGGGGCTGCTACCTGTTTATATTGATTCACAAAAACATTACCACTCTGTGTCATACCCAAGACTACAGCTACTGTGGGGTCATAGAAGAAGCACTTATTAATATTCTTTACAATAGCATTTTCTCTAAGCCACACTGTGTAATAAAAATAGCTACTGTCTTTCACAAGCCAAAAAGGGATACCTTAAAAAATAATGAGAGCTTTTGTAGCTCTACTAGCAGTATATTTCAATTATCATAAATCTTAAATGATAAATACCTTTTTTCTTGGCTGAAACAATGGTAAGCTTGCAATAAAATAAACATCAATATATGCTATTACAAGCTGTTTCACAGAGATATTTTATATATTACTTACTAAATACAGAAGCTTTTTGTAGACTTTGTCCTTCAAAATATGAGCTGCACTGTTTGCTTTATTAATAATTCCTTTTTGTCTCATCTCAAGTGGATGAAGCTCTTACTAACCCATTTCCTCTCACACTCACACAGATTCATCCTGGAAATGTGCCATTTCTCACATATTAACTTATTGTTGTACAATAGTCTAACCTTCTTAAAACCAGCATCCTGGTTTATTTGGTTTTTATTCCGAGCCTTAGCACCAACCTTTACACATAGAAAGAATGAATAGTGTTTATTAAGTGAATGATTCACCATTAAGCACATCGTTTTTTTCTGTACCTTTCTCAGCTTGATAATCAAATACCTGAAAGGGATGAAGGAGACAAGCTTCCCTCAACATAGCATCCCCAACTCCACAGTCCAATGACATGCTTTTTTAACAAATGGGCACCTGTATTTGTTTCCTGAGGCTGCAATTATAAGTTACTGCATACCTGATGGTTTGAAGCAACAAGCATTTACTTATTCTCTCAGCATTCTGAAGGTCGAAAGTCTTACATATTGTCACAGGGCTCAGATCATGATATCCAGAGGTCCATCAATAGATGTGCAGAGGGAGATTCTGTACCTTGCACTCGATTCTTCATTTCATCAATCATCTCTACTCTACAACCACAGAGCCTTCTCCTCTGTCAATCCCTGATAAAGACAGTTATGATTGTATTTAGGACTTTCCTTCATAGTACTCTCATATCAAGTTTCTTTTTTTGTTTTGGTATGTTTTTTAATTGTAAAAATGCTGTACAGAGGGGTCACAGTTACATGAGCAAGGTAATAAGTACATTTCCTCTTGAGCATTTTGGTAAAATGCTAGCCTTGAGCAAAAAAGCTCAGTGACAGTACCTGGGCCTTGGGTTCAAGTCTTAGGACCAGCACAAAAAAAAGAAAGTGAGACCTTTTATGAGTGGGTCAGTACTGAGGCATAAACATAAATTCAGGTTCTCAGCACTGTCTCAGCCTTTTCATTCATAGCTAGTGCTCTACCATTGCGTCACAACTCTACTTCCAGGTTTTTGCTGGTTAATTGTTCCTACGCATGTCATGGACATTCCTGTCCATGTTGGCCTCCAACCATGATCCTCAAATCTCAGCCTCCTGACTAGTTAGGAATACTCCTAACTACCATTTCTGTCAGGAAATGAAAAAATTGTATATCAAGAAGTTTGATTTTTTTCTTTCTCTCATACTAGGTCTTGAACTCTGGGACATGGTATTTGCTTAACTTGTTTGCTCACAGCTGGTACTCTACCAATTAAACCACATCTCCACCCCCTGTTTTTTTGTTAGCTAATTAGAGCTAGAATCTTGAGGACTTCTCTTCCCTTGTTGGCTGCAAACTATAATTCTCTAGGTCTCAGTCTCCTGAGTTTACAAGCATGTACTATGGGTGCCCAGTAAGAATTCAATTTCTTAACCATTGTAAGTTGATTAAATTTATCCCTTTTTCTAACTCATATCTGATTACCAGAAGATAGTAGCATTAAAACTCAAAATGAAGAGTCTGTGGGCTTCTCATAGGAATGTAAGGGAGAAATACCAGGAAATCCCTTTTCCAGTCTACTGCATAATCGCTATGAAATCCTAGAGGTTGGGACATTGAAGAGAAAAGGAAGTTGGCCTGCCTTTAGGGCTCTCAGAAAGGGAGCAAGCACAGCCCAGAAACAGTGATGTGTTGCAAAGGCTTCCCACATACAAGTTCATAGTCATTTCTTTTTGTTGTTGGGTCCAGTCGTGGGGCCTGAACTCTGGGCGCTGCCCCTCAGCTCTTCAGCTCAAGGCTAGCACTCTACCACTTGAGCCACAGCGCCACTTCTGGCTTTTTTTTTTCCTTTTTGATTATGTGGTGCTGAGGAATCGAACCCAGGGCCTCATGCATGCAAGGCAAGCGCTCTACCACTGAGCCACCTTCCCAGCCCTCTCATAGTCATTTCTATGACTATTTCTACAGAACAAGTGTGGGTAAACCTCTGAATCAACCAATTAGGAATTGGTATCATGTTTAGGAATGCTTAATGATGCTCTCACATGGTCAGTGCAGCCCTTTAGGAGAGCTGGGAATTAGATAGAGGCCTTCTCTCCTCCAGGACCAGCATTGTTAGAAAAGGAAGATGACAATAGTGAAAGCAACTATGGACTCCAGAAAAGGCAAGATTGTCTGATAAAGCTTTGAGTCTAAAGCTCAGAAATAA